ATGTGTGTATGTATGTATGCATATGCATATACACTTGCATTTATATTGTCTTATTGTTATATTATTATATTGTTATATTGTTATATTGATATATATATATATATATATATATATATGTGTGTGTGTGTGTGTGTGTGTGCATATATGTATATGTATGTATATATGTATATATATGTGTGTGTGTGTGTGTGCGTGTGTGTGTGTGTGTATGTGTGTGTGCGTGTATATATAGATATATACATATATATATATATATATATATAAACATAAAGTGTGCTTAATAGAAGCGGATATAGAGGGTGGCAAAGTAAGATAATATCTACTACATTGCTTCGTACACGTTGCTAAGGCTAGAATCGAGCTTACAATCAATTCACCTATATAAATATATATACACGAGCGCCTGCAAACATACGTAGGTGAAAATACTTTTTCAACTTGTGTATAAGTTAATCTAGTCGTATGTATATATCTGCAATGGTACACACCTGCATCCACTTGGCTAGGCGCACCTGCACTCACTGCGACAAGGAGATAAGTCCCACTCCCATCTGCAATGATGCGTGAAGAGTTACACACGGACTTGTCTAAAACCCTTAAACCCCCCTCCTCCTCCCCATCCCACCTTAACTAACCCGCCCATCCCTTCTCCCAGGCCCTACGGTGACAAGTACGAACGCGCTGCGGAGTGGCGCATACCTACCGTGTCGCATGAATGGCTCGAAGAGGCATTCCGCACGTGGTCTGTGCCCAATCCAAGCGACTTCTCCACGCTTGTGGGCGAAGAATACGCGACCGGTTTTCCCGCACTCTTGTCCCTGCCACCCGGGCGAAGCGTACCTGGCGGCGCCCTGGGAGATGGTTCTATAAATAGCACAGCATCTTACTGGCGAGGAGATTCTAAAAATAGCCCGAGCGTGAGTGTTCTGTCCGGCGGTGTGGTGAACCCCAGTACGCCTGCGACTCTGAGCGGTGCGGCAGAGGGGCGCGCAGAACGCACGAATAACGGTATGCGTACCGCACAGCAGTACTATGGGGTGGACGACGGTCACCTGGGCAACAACGCCTTGACGCGCCATTTGGGCGGGAACGAGCGGTCCATGCGCACTGGGGACAGGGCAGCCCTGGTGAGGGTCGGGGGAGAGGCGGCATACTCTGGGCGAAGGTATGACCCGTATCCACCCACGCGGCTGGGCGTGGAGGGGCGGGGCGGGGGAACGCAGACAACGACGGCTGGGCACACGCACACACACGGCGACCCACACACCATACGGCACACCATGTCACGCGCACCTGCGGAGCCTCAAGGCATACAGCACACGTACAGCTACACACCAGCACACGCACAGCCAGGCCCACAGGCACCCCCACAGCCGGCCCCTCAGGACACGCGAGTAGCGCCGCCCCACCGGCCGCAACCGCAGTACAACTACACTACCCAGCGCACGAAAACCGGCACACAGCTGCCAACGCCCGAGGGCGCAGAGGAGTACGGTCACGCGGTCGAGCATGCAGAGGGGGGGGATAGCGGGCTGGAGAGTGGGGAGGGAGAGATCACGAGCACCCGGCAGAATTCCTACCCGGTTGGCATGGCAACCGCTGGGAAGAGGCCGGGCCGGAGTGGCTCAGAGCGTCTCAGCACGCCACAGAAGGGGCCGGGCACGCCCGGACCCACCAGGTCTAACAAGCCTAGAAGTACGACTAAAAAACCCAGCCCTATTCCTGTGGTAAGGAACTCGCGAGAAGTGGCCGGTGGGGATGGGAACAAACGCCAACGCCAACGCCAACGCCAACGCCAACGCCAACGCGAACGCGATCCATCCGAGATCGATCTGACCACCACCAGTCCCCAGAACAGACACACGGCAAACATCAGTCAGCATATGCACCTGGATGGACATACAACGGGCATGCAGCACCCGGCCGCACCTCACAGGCACACAGATAGCAACTCTGGGCCTACTCGCCCCACGTCGCCACACATGGACATGGATAGAACCCCTGAGGACATTCAGCAGGAATCGCTGCATCTGTCGTCGCGGAGTACACCACGCGCAGAACAACGGGGTAGCGCGGCGCGCTCTATTCCGAGCGTGAGCACGTCCGTGGGCGTGTCAGCGGGGGAGACGATTGATCTCACGGGAGAGGGAGACACGCGTGAGCCCAAGCGCAAGAAGACCAAGCGCGCCAAGAAGAACGCGCATGCGAAGCCGGTTGTACTGTTCACGGCGCAGCCCAAGAGCCGCATGCCGGCTATGGAAAAGGTATGGGTTGAGCTGGAAGTATGTAGTTTGGCGAAATCATAACTGTCGAGGTTAAGATAGATAGATATATGTATATGTATA